GCCTCTGGCCTTTGTTTGTCTTGTGTGGTTTTTTTTAAATTTTAGTTCGTTTATATGTTTTGGACTTTAGTGTGACTTCCATTTTCAGTGAACTAGTACACATTTTTGCTTAAGGGCCAGCTCAAGCCTGCCTCCGTTTGCGGGATTTTCTCGCTGTGTTGAAGACCCATTGGTGGCCTTGAGCTGTTTTCTGCTCTTTGGACGGGTTATTGTCTCTTGACACATTCCCCATTTCCATTCTCAATTTTACATTATAATATTACTGTGTGCACTTGAGATCTCAATCTTCCCCCTTTTTATTCTTGATCACAGTAAATAACAACTTGACACATGCATCTAAATGAAATTGTCTGTCATATTTGATTTGTCAATTTTACAGTAATTTACAAATTCTGAAATGTCTTGATACTGAAGACCTAATTACAATACAATACAGATCTGTTATTTACCCCATCCTATAAGTCATGGATCCATTTAATATGAAGTCAAAGAAATGCACTGACTTTTGAGGGTCTGGATGGGGTTTACAGAATAGAGAATACTGGGCAAAAAATAGAGAATAATGGACGAAAAAACAAAGAATAGAGAATAATGGACGAAAAAAACAAAGAATAGAGAATAACGGACAAAAAAAACCCAAAAAATACAGAACAATGGACAAAAAAAAGTAAAAAAAAAAAGAGGAAATGGACGAAAAAAACATAAATAGAAAATAATGGACGAAAAAAAAACAAAAAATAGAGAACAATGGACGAAAAAAACTAAAAAAAAAAAGAGGAATGGATGAAAAAAACCAAAAAAGGAGAATTTAATGGATGAAAAAAACAAAAATAGAGAATAATGGACGAAAATTCAAAGAAATGAGAATAATGGACGAAAAAAAACAAAAATAGAGAATTATGGACCAAAAAAACAAAAATAGAGATTGATGGATGAAAAAAAAACCAAATATAGAGAATAATGGACGACAAAATTAAAGAATAGAGAACAAGGATGCTCTAATACATGTATAAAGAAGAGAGAATAATGGACCAAGAACAAATTGAGAAAAATTGCCTAAGACATTATAGAATTACAGAAATTAATACCCCCATCAAGACCTTCATTTATTGGATGGACAAAATTACATCAGACTACTTATTTGCACTGTAATTGCTTCAAGATTAAATAAAATTAATCTGTCATCTCAAGTAAATTATGGTCCAGTCTTTTACTCAAAACATCATTACATTAAACTTTTTGCATTTGTTATAATGTAATCACTTGAATTACTATTCTTAAAATCTTTTAAATGACCAAAACATTAGCAATTGACATCTAAAAATATTTTAGAAGACACCGCCATTTTAGAGGAGTGCTCACTTTATACTGGTACAATATTCAGATTATCTTTGGTTGGTTGATTGATTGATTGATGTTTAATGCCACTTTAAGCACTCTTGGCTATTTCTTGGTATACCGTTGATGGAAAAAGCTAGAGTCATGGAAAGAACCACGATCTTTGGCAGGAAAACTGGTAATCCTAATCCAATAAGATTGGAGTCAAACGCCTCATCCCGATGTACAAAAAAAAGGTCATTCCAAGAATTTACGACCCTCTGAAATAAATCTCAGCATGCTCATAAACAATGCCAGTAGTTGTATGTCACCTCTTATTGTTTTTTTCTCGCTTGCAACAAAGTCACGGTATGCGAGACATAGGTATTACTATCCGGCGGTGGCAGCAGCGTAAACTATTTGTATAAAGTTTTATATTTCAGATGGTAGAAGACCTGGATGCTTCAGATATTGTATGCAGATACCTTATGTTACAAAGTTTCTGTCAATCATATGTCCATTGGCTTTGACCTCATTTTCATGGTTCAGCGACTGCTTGAAAAAAAAAAAAGATTTTTTTTGTCATGTGAATTTCTCACTTATTATGATTAATACATGTAATAGGATAACTATATTTGGTATATGGGATCCTTGCAACGTCTAAATGTTTGTCAGACAGCGTTCACCTGACCTTGACCTCATTTAATGGATCAGTGATCAAGGTTAAAGTTACGTGATTAGGTCTGTTTCTCAAATTCTATAAGCAGTAGGTCAACTATATTTGGTGTAGGGAACGATGTAATGGGTACATGTCAGTCTGGCAGGTTTCATCCGACCTAGACCTCATTTTCAATGTTAAGTTCTTTGTGTTTTAGTCTGTTTTTCAAGTAGTATAAGCAATAGGTCAACTAAATTTGGTGAATGGAATGATTATAAGAGGTACAAGTCTTTCTTGCAGGTATCATCTGACCTTGACCTCATTTTCATGGTTCATCGTTCAATGTTAAGTTTTTGTGTTTTTGTCTTTTTTTCAAGTACTATAAGCAAAAGGTCAACCTTACTTGGTGTATGGAAAGATTGTAAGGTGTACATGTCTGTCTGGAAGGTATCATCTGACCTTGACCTCATTTTTATGGTTCAATGGTCAATGTTAAGTTTTTGTGTTTTGGTCTGTTTTTCAAATACTAATAGCAATAGGTCAGCTTTGGTGTATGGAATAATTGTAAGGTGCACATGTCTGTCTGGCAGGTATCATTTGACCTTGACCTCATATTTATGGTTCATTTCAGTGTTAAGTTTTTTGTGTTTTGGTCTGTTTTTCAATTAGCATACGCAATAGGTCAACTATATTTGGTGTATAAAAAAAATTTGTAAGGTGTATATGTCTGTCTGACACAATTTATCTAACCTTGACCTCATTGTCATAGATTTTTTTTAAATGTTAAGTTTCTGCAATGCTTTTATTAAAACCTTTATCTTTAAGACTTTCAACATAAAATCAATGATCAGTAAAACAGGCGAGACATTTCAGCGGGTGCACTCTTGTTTTGTCTGGGAGAGAACTGGGTGTTGACGGCAGATCTTTCATTAATTCTGTTAAATTTATCCACAACTTTTATAGACTACATAAGAAAGATTAATGACACTATCCTATACACACTCCATCTATAAATAAAGACTGTATGTTTCCTGCTAGCGGTGTTCCCCCTTGAAAACTCTTAAAGTATCCTGATAAACAGGGAATTTTGCAATACCTTCTTGTATCTGGAAATTATAGTATCGCATCCATAACACAATCTATAAGAAACTGTTATTTCTGAAATTATTGCCTGTAGTTATTAAAGGGGTAGCTCAGAACAAAAGACACAAATGCGAGATTAATTATTGCAATTTAAGGATATGTGGCATACAAATAATGCTATTAAAATTTAAAATGCACATTTTTATTTTTGGTTGATTGATTGATTGGTGCTGAATTCACACTTTATTTTTGCAACACCCAACTCATCACAATTTTCGTAATGATAGAAACATTGCAAAAAATTCTGAATTTATATAACAATAGCATCAATTCAACCAATATTGCATTACAATTCTGCTAAAAGGCATTGTGGAGAACATTGTTATTCTAGATGTTATCGGCTGTTTTGTTGTCTCATTGATGTGTAACCAACATCATTTAAGCAAATTAATCTGTTTAATGTAGAAATCATTAAACACTATCTGTTACCACTGTTTGTAGATTTGCTGCAGAAACTTAATAAATGAACGCTGCAGAAACTTAATAAATGAACACTTAAAATGTTAAAATCATATTCAAATGTATAACATTTATAATTTTATCTTTAAACCATGTGTCACTTAATTTTAGCTGTATTGAGAAAAAATGTCAGAAAATATATAAACAAATAAGGAAAAAAACAGTTTCGTACGTCATATCCAATTATGTAAATTTTTTTTATAACATACCAAACACAATATACCGTTTGGTGTAATTGCAAATGAGTCAAATATGATGTAATTCAATAAAATTTATACATCCTTAAAAATTTGAGACCTTTTGGTCATATGTGTGAATCTGTATTCATAGACCACCAGTGTATTAATAGACCACTTTTGCCTTAAATCTCTTGAGTGGTCCATGGTCATAGTCTTAATAGAGATTTGACTGTAGTAAATTTTAGCTTAAATGTTCTATACCAATCAGAAAATTTTAAGAATAATTTTTGTTATAATAGAATATAAATATTGTTCTAAATAATTACATTGCAACACACAAACTCAACAATAATAGCATAATTCTGACATTTATAAATAAAACATGTTTGCTATATAAATAATTTTACCATAAAAAAAATAACATAAAAAACTGGGTGTGATTTGTTTATTCATTAAATTCTCACTAGTGGAAACAGACTTCAAAGTAAACTGATACTTTGCCTGCGAATCAGTGTATTTTTAGTTCTACAGGGCTAAAAAGGTCTCTAGATAATGACTGAAACTGGTAATTATAGTATAGTAACACCCATACTTATCAAAAGATCTTAAATAGAAAATGTGTGTCAGTTCAAACTTCAAACTACAGTACATGTAGAAATGGAAAAAGAAGCAATATGTATAAGGCTTATTATATCATGACACAATTAAGATCCCTACATACACTTGACAATATATATCAAAACTAAGGAACTTACTTTTTTGCTGTTTTTTCATCTCAGAGGCATAATGAGACTAAAAGCTTTACCTTTCTGCTAGTACTAGACAGCACCTAGCACAGGTTCCTAATGGGAAGGGATATTATTGCCGAAAACAAGACAAACTGAGCCTCAAAGGAGTATTATCTTCTCCAAAGCTCTAATTTCTTATTTTAACATAAACTTTTGTCATAGAATATAAAAAAAAGAGTAATAGGTTCAATAGCAATGGTAAGACCACTATACTTGGGATTCATTATTATTCATGGCTGTTGGGATACAAATGGCGTTCATTTTGAGGGCATAGGTAAATCACAAATTAAGTGGTTCAACAAAGTATAAAAGCAGACTTTGGCGAAAAAAGAAAATACACTGTTTTTCCTCAATCCATGAAGATTGATACCCATAAAAATAAATGAATCCACTGTAGACACCAAACAATTTGATAAACTGCATTTGTACATATTTTATTTCGTTCATGTTTTTCAGGTATATAACCCTCTACTCAGGAATATTACAGATACACAATATATCAGAGTCTGATGCGGGTTCCTTCCACTGCTCAGTATACCAAAGTTTTAACAAAGTCAACAATGTACCTGTAACAATTGATCTGATATGGCAGCACAGTCGTGTCCAGGCAGGACTCAAAGTTATAGCAGGTAGGCAGCACAGTCGTGTCCTCAGTTATAACAGGTAATGGCAGCACAGTCGTGTCCAGGCGGGACTCAAAGTTATAACAGGTAATGGCAGCATAGTCGTGTCCAGGCGGGACTCAAAGTAATAACAGGTAATGGCAGCATAGTAGTGTCCAGGCGGGACTCAAAGTAATAACAGGTAATGGCAGCATAGTCGTGTCCAGTCAGGACTCAAAGTAATAACAGGTAATGGCAGCATAGTCGTGTCCAGGCGGGACTCAAAGATATAACAGGTAATGGCAGCACAGTCGTGTCCAGTCAGGACTCAAAGTAATAACAGGTAATGGCAGCATAGTCGTGTCCAGGCGGGACTCAAAGATATAACAGGTAATGGCAGCACAGTCGTGTCCAGTCAGGACTCAAAGTTATAACAGGCACTTGTTTGAGTTTGGTATGTTAATTTTTTTTTTAATGCCCCATTTACAATAGAAGAGGATTGAGCCTGGGTGGCCAAGTTATTGAACTACTATTTCACTAGCTTGTCAACATTGAGGTTGTGAGTTAGAATCTGGCACATGGCAGATGCGATTGACTCCAATCTTAATTGACTGGGATTGTCAGTTTTCCTACCTAAGATCATTGGTTCTCTCTGGCACTCTGTCTTCCTCCACCAATAAAAATTTACCGCCACAAGATAGCACAATAGAGCAGAAAGTGGTGTTAAACACCAATCAATCAATCAACCAATAGAAGAGGGGCATTAAGAATGTTTTCTGGTCTGTGCCTGTGTCTGTGTGTCTGTCAGTCTCTGTTTTAATCTATCCATGCATAAATTCATCCAATATCAGGTTAAAGTTTTTGGTTGAGGTAGTTTACCATGAAATTGTGGTCAAATCAATATCAGGTTAAAGTTTTTGGTTGATGCAGTTTACCATGAAATTGTGGTCAAATCAATATCAGGTTAAAGTTTTTGGTTGAGGTAGTTTACCATGAAATTGTGGTCAAATCAATATCAGGTTAAAGTTTTTGGTTGATGCAGTTTACCATGAAATTGTGGTCAAATCAATATCAGGTTAAAGTTTTTGGTTGAGGTAGTTTACCATGAAATTGTGGTCAAATCAATATCAGGTTAAAGTTTTTGGTTGATGCAGTTTACCATGAAATTGTGGTCAAATCAACTTGAAACTTCATTATGATTTGAACCTTTAAAAATATATATGCCAAATTAAGGATTTAACCAAGATTTTGTGTTTCACCAAGAATGGAAATGTGATAGTGTGAGCAGTGCATGGTATCATGTGGACAAATATTCTTGTTTAATCTATAATTCTAAAATAATCTTGTTTTTATTCATTAATCCTGGTTTTATTTAATTTCATCATAATATTTTGCTTTCACAAGGAATCATTATAAAGGAATCATTTAGTTCTTCATTTAACAGTAGGGTGCATGAATCTATGTCAACGATCTAAGTCAAGGCTGTGTTTTCTCAGACAGACAAAATCAATAGCCATTATGAAGATCTTAATATATCTGTAATTCCTCAGAACTTATAAGGATAATTTCTGTCTAGAATGTGAGAGGTCATGAGTTGACACTCCTATTCATAGAGGCTTGTATCTCCTGCCCTCAAATTAAAAACGGAGGTGGGGAAAATTAGTCTCTTGTACTTTTAAAGGATTAAAAGGCTTTAAAAATTACAAAACACGTTTTTCAGACATGTGAATAAATTTAGATATAATGGGTGTGTCCATGGTAAACAATTAGACTGTTTTCTTTAAATTATACAGCAAGATAGGATACATAGAAAAAAAAAATAAGTAAAGGGTTTGACATTAATGGCTGTCCATGTACGGCATGTCTGTGCATTTATCAATTTTCCCTTTGTCCTTCCAACCCACTTTTATATCTGATATCATTTCTGAACCACTTAATTGACTTGATTTTGTGAATTTTACTTTTTCAAAATCTTACTAACATAATGACATGTACTTTATATGTCATATCTGCAAAGTACAAATCACAATTTTTTATCAACCTCTCATCCTAAACTCCTCTGTAGAATTTAATGAAACTATCTCAGAATGTTCACCTTATAATACCATTGTGACCTACTGTAAATTCAGAAATTATTGCGATGTTTTTATTATTGTGAAAAATGCGACAGGTTTATAATCGCAATAATTTAAACTCGTATTTTGAAATTTTTATATGAATTAAACATGATTTTTCTCAATATCGCAAAAATTAAAATCGCATTTTAGACTTAAATGACAAAATCGCAATAATAAATGCACGCAATAATTTCTGAATTTACAGTATTCTCTTTTACCATATTAGACTGTTTCTTTTAAAATTATACAGCAATATCATAAGGATACAAAGATAGATACAAAATAAACACAGGTTTTTGACATTAATGGCTGTCTGATTGCCTGTGACAAGTTTAAGTAACAAGCTTAAGTAGACAACCAAAAACTTAAATACCCTAGCCCAACTGGAAAAGAAAATGTTTTCTTAAACTAAAGAGAAATAACAGAATCTATCATGTACACCAATGTCTCTAATCAATGATGGAAATGGGATTCATTGACAGCATATACAAATTGACTTATTAACACCCCCCCCCCCCCCCCCCTCTAAACCCAACTCTCTTCGAGGTAGGTGGAATAAAGTGATGGGGTCTCCAACTTGTCAATCTGTCCTTTTGTCTTTCCATCCCACTATTGTATCTGCGATTGTTCCTGAACTGCTTAGCTGAATTTTGCGAAATTTTTTCTAAATCTTACTCACACAGTCCTACAACTAAGCCCAAGAAATCACATTAAAATGATGTTGGATTGAAAATCATCTTATCAGATACACCACTTAGAAAACACAAAATTTTCAAATAAATTTGTCACTTCAATTATAAGTTTGATTGTTAATGAATACCACATGTTTCATTTTCTTGATAATAGGTGGTAATTGTTGCATGAAGGATACACAACACTTATCAATATTTATAAATGTGAATATTTAGTCAATTACAAACATAAACATGTAATACAAATTAAAAATTATAGGAAGACAAATTAAAATTAATTTTTTTTTCAATGTGTAGGGGAAATATAACATCACAAACTTTCCTTCAGCCTTTTTTAATATTTAATTTCAATGAGTAGTTATAAAAATGTTAAAATAAAACAAAATTTCAATTAATTTCATTGTTCTGTCCTAGAATGGTAATATCAGAAACTAGACACATAGTGTATTATCATCTCTGCTGAAAAGAAACTCCGTTTTTTTGTTTTGTTTTGTTTTAAACATCTGTTTGTTAAGTTATATTATCTGTCCCTTTATCAGCATGAGACGACAGATTTATAGCTCTAGTTAACCATTTTATAATTGAGAGAAGATATGAAATTAACCCTGCTCGTGCGGGTGCACTTGACTCCAATCTTAATTGACTAGGATTGTCAGTTTTCCTATCGAAGGTTGGTGGTCTTCTCCGGGCACTCCGGCTTCCTCCACCAATAAAAACTGGCCGCCACGAAATAGCCCAAAAGCAGTGCTTAAAAGTGGCGTTAAAACACCAAAAATCAAATCAAATCAATCAAGATATGAAATTTTCACTTTGAAGGGCTTAGATGCAAGACTGTCATATGATCTTTTGCACCTGCTATTTTCATTTCTTCATCTGAATAATTTTGAAGAGTTTAATATGGCAATATATATGACATGTACTTTGTTATATATCCACAGGTGGGTAAACATTTGCATCCAATTTGCCACCTAAACTCTTTATCAGAATTTAAAGAAATTTCGTCAAAATCTTCGCCATATAATACTGCTAATTCTGAAATTTTTGAAATGTTTTTATTGTATTGTAATTTGCCATGAGATTGGTGCATTAGAAAATGCATAGAAATAGTTGATTGAGTCTGTAGTGTCGTAAAACTAGAGAACAAGTCTCTTCTGGTGTAAAATTGGAACAAAGATTAAAAATAAGTGACAGTATCATTATCAGTTATACAGAAGCTTACATAAAAGACATCACATTTCAAATTAAAGTCTTGTTTTGAGCAATTTATGTTTGTTAAGATCTGTCCATGTCAACATAATCTCTTATTAAGCTTAATAATTAGTTATCTTGTATTTCAATCAGTTTGAAATGTAACACTTGTATAACACATATATATAATTCATTAAAATTCAATGATAACAATGGACCAAGTGTATGATAAATTGATTATAGAAACTATAAAACTGATACATATGTTAGATTTATTAATGTTTTTATATGTTTAACATTTGCATCTAATTAATTGAAAAAGATATGTGTTATGATCTTTTTGTACAGAAGAATCCTGAAACTCAGAAATTTTTGAAATGTTCTAATCTTATTATATTGAAATTTGCAACGAGATAGGTGTTGTTGTTGATAGCATTATTTGTATGTACCCTTTCCTGAGATCACAATTGTTAAACCAGCTTTTGTATGAATTCTTCAACAATTATAATAATAAATGTACACACTAATTTGTAAATTAACAGTACAGGGTATTCTGCACCTCAAATTTTGGTTTTTGATCGAACATTATGTACGAAAATCAGTCTTGATCAACTATTTTTGACAAAGTTATGTTCCTTGGAAATATCAATTATATGGAAAATTTCATTGTAAGTACTCGCAAGCCTACATTTAAGAAATTTATTAAAAGTTTTTAAGAACTTTGAACAGATAAAAAATGTGCAATGAGGGTTACATTGGAACTCTATTCTTTTATTCAGAAAATGTTTTTTCATTTTAAATGTTAAACGGGGAAGAATTTTGTTTAAAAAGAAACTTGTTCTCTCTCTGCATCAGAAAAGGTTGAATTGACACCTCCATTTCAACCTTTTCTATCTATGTAGAGGACTCTGAAATGTAGGACAAGTTCAGATAGAAAATGCGTAGAATTAGTTGATAAGAGTCCCTAGTGTTATAAAACTAAAGCATAAGTCTCTTCTGGGGAACAAAGATACAAATAAGTGACAGTATC